GAAGAGGAGCACGTTTGGTTCCCATGGGAATGCCGATTGATTGTTGTCCTCCGACCGTAACACGTTTGTTGTCAATCAAGAAATCAAGCATCTTGATAATGTCAGTTTCGTCGAATGTTTTGTTTGAATCAGAGTGCGTTTTTTTTTTACAAAGAGCGAGTTATCCTTACCTTAAACAAATTCAAGGCGCAGATATCTGTATCCATCGAATTAAAATATCGATCAATTGTAACTTGCGTCTCATATGAGTATTACGAAATCAAAGATATATATTTTAATTATATTGATATTTGTATCTACGCTGACCATTCTTTTTCATGAAACAAAACAGTACCAATTCTTTCATTTTTTCTTTCAGTTCGGAATTTGGAATTCTTGTGTAAAGGGTGGAAAAGTCAAATCTTTTAATACTTTTGCCAGAGGAAAAAGACTTAGATTGTATGAACTAGCTGTCACTAACTGCAAGTACTCTCAGATTTGTACTTTATGTTTATTTTGTGGTTTTGTTAGTGTTTTTATGTGTCTTGTGTCGATCTGATCAGTTAGGACCTTTTCCAACTGATTTTAATGGTTCGTTCTTATGTGGTATTTTTACACCACTATCCCAGGTTAGCGGGAGGATTTGGCGCCAGTAAACATGTTTAAATCCGCTAAATTGAGCCTGTAATTCAGTGGTTGACATTGGTTGCTGTATATCATATTTGTTTTTCGTTTATTGTGTTATACATAAATCAGGCCGTTAGTTTTTTTACATTTGTCATCTCGGAGTCTATTACAGCTGAATATGCGTTATGGGTTTTTCTCATTGTTGAAGGCCGTACGGTGACCCATACTGTTGTTAACTAATATGTCATTTGGTGAAGTGTTGTGTCATTGGCAATCAACCATCTTCTTAATTTTATAGTACAGGTGCAATCGGAAGGTTAAGACTCGAAGTTGTTAAATTGATATCGAGATTAGTATGAAGACGTGTACTGATTTTCGTACTAGTCGATTTCTCAAGCAACCGCGTGTCGTTGGGTTGCTGTGGGTATTTAGGAGAGCCTTAATTGCATTGTGTGTCCACAGTTCATTATCATTTGGAGAACTCCGTAACCAGACAAGCTGTCACAAGCCCATTATTCTGAACTCCTTTCTAAATGTTTTCGGTATTTTAGAGTTCAGTTGATTGCGAATGGAGTATAATTCGATCTTAGCATGAATGACCATAGGTTAGCCGCGGTGCTTATGCTATGTACAGTACACGAAACCGCGTGCATTTGTGTAGTTAATGTTGTAGAAGGGCCTAAACTGTATCCCTTTGTTCTTGTTGGAAATAACATTCTGTGTCTTTTTCATAGTATAGTTTCACACTAAGACTGTCCCTGCAAGGATTAGCTGGGGATATTAAAAAGTTAAAACAAAAATACCGAACTCCAAGGAAAATTCAAAACGGAAGTCCCTTAACAAGTGGCAAAATCAACTGAAGCTCAAACACATCAAACGAATGGAAAACAACTGTCATATAATATTCCTGACTTGGTACAGGTATTTCCTTATGTAGAAAATGGTGGATTAAACCTGTTTTTAAAGCTAGCTAAACCTCTCTCTTGTATGACAGTTGCATAAAATTCCATTATATTGTATATTGACAACAAACTGACTTGACACATGCTATATAGTCCCAGTTAAACATGGATAAAATAATCTTGATTCAAAATAAAAACGAGTCAATTTTACTTCCCTTGGATCTTTTCTCATCTAAATTGTTTCCAAGATTTTACAAACAAATAACATATGTATGGTTTACCTCAGTATATAAGAAAAGCGATATATACACTTGTGAATGAAATGAAAAGAAGTTGACGGGGGATGGCTGGCTATAGAAAGAGATTTACTTTTTGGTAATTTATCCCCGCCCAAGATGAAAAAGTTCAGACGACACCACTGACTCAACGCTTTTAAATATGAGCCTTTAGATAAGTATCTTCATATGGTCATCGATCTGGTGACAAATTTCCATAGTCACATTCCAACAAAAGTTGTGTCACGCTGTTTGATTTAAATTCTATTTTGTGTGTTACAGAAACGAACCAGCGAAAACCTGTGTGAACTATATAAAGAGACGTATAATATATAATGGTTTAATATCTGGTATAATTTTGTCTTCATACTGAGTTTTAAACACTCATGCAAATTACCAAAAGGGAAAATTGATTTACAATTTTATATACTAGTACCAAGCTTGTTACCCACTGTTATATGTACTAAAACATTTATATGAATACCCTGTTGTGTACTCATATGAAAAGAGATGGTTCAGTAGCAATTTAAAAACGATGCTAAAAAAATTCAGTCAGTTTTATCTGGGACAAAATTGAGTATAATAGTCCCAGGTTTAATTTAATATCTCATTTTCAACTTGAGTAGAATTATATCACACAAAGGGAGCAAACTCCCTATCGATAAGAAAATATGGCGGGAAAGCTGCTGTCACACAAGAATACAATATATTTTTGTAGAAGATGGTGACTGAATCTTGTCAAATATCAGAAACATAGGTACCCATGTTAATTTATAACTTTTAATTTCTAATAGTGTATATTCTTGGGCACGTTGCATCATGGTACATGTACTTATTTTGTGTAAGTTTGTCGTGCAGTTTCAAGTTGGCCATAAACATAAATTAGCCTTCAAACTTTGTAGTTTTCTAGCCAAACCGGTTGTTCTGTCTAGGAACTCCGGCCTCCTCTACCAATAAGAACTTCCCGTAACATTAAAGCCAATAGTGCTGAAAGTGGCGTAAAACTCAACAATCAATAAGTCAATCAAAATTTGTAGAATATAATTATGTATTTATTTTAATCTGTAGAAATCAGTACATATGCATATCACATTTCTTTACAAACAGATGCTCTCTGTAAAGCAAATCAACCATGTTAGTAAAATCATTAGTATTTAATTGGCCTTTGAAATCACTAGCAACGAGTACTGCAAAGCCCCCAACCAATTTAGTCTTTTGGCGGGCACATTACATTTGGGCGCATATGGGATTAAATTTGGTACGTTTGCTCGCAGCTTTTTATTACATTTGCGTGCAATTATTTAACAGGTAATACAGGTAAATATAAGACAATAAATATGTTGTTATTTATTAATTTTGAACATATATTTATCATTTTTAATTATATATTTTTCATACTGAATTGTAGAAAATTATATTAAGTGATCGTACATGTTACTTAATTGTGAATATTGCATGTGAATACCATTTTGTTTCCAATCTAAAAAAAGCTTGATGCACCAGCACTTGTGTGTAGAAGTAAGAAAGAGAAAACAAAGTATCTGATGGCACGATTCCGAAAATATCAGAACAGAGAAATTGACACAATTCATTTTCTAAAAGCAGTAGGCTTCAAATATTCAGCTAGTACCAAAATGTAAAATCGGTACTTTTACTCTTAAGACTTGCTATGTTTTTACATTTTATCTGTAAATATCCTCATTGGTTAGCAGAGGACTAGACAAATGAAGTTAAATTAATAAATAGATAAATGAGTATTATCTCACTGTGTTTTACCAGTAAATGAATGCAGGCAAATGTAATCAAAAGCAGCGAACAAACTTAATGATTTTTATGTGCAAATGTAATGGTAATGTGCGCAAATGTAATGGTAATGTGCGCAAATGTAATGCACTGCTTTTGACAACCTATTTTGTTTTTTCTATCAAAAGAATTATATAAATATGTATACTATATATATATACATTTTTTTGTCAAGCTATGGAAGATATTATAGTGTTGCACACCTCTGAAATTCTGAAGATGCACCTTATTTGTTTAATGTATGAATAGTCAGTTACTTTGTTAGATGACCATCTGTTTAATATATGTTTAATGTATGAATAGTCAGTTACTTTGTTAGATGACCATCTTTTTGTATCTTCCAAACAAGGGATAAGGGGAGAAATGTTGAAAAAAAGACTTCCTTTTGAACCGCCTCTTCATGAAATACATACATGAAGAGGGGTTCAAAAGGAAGTCCTACCAAAAATTGTGATGGGATCTTCATTGACCAGACTTTTTGTGTTTTTCATGTTTGCCCTGAGTATTTGCTCAATGGAAGTCTTGACAAAATAGTTTGAACATATGTTCTAGGAGATGTAAAGAAAAATCTTAATAATTATCATAGTTTCCAACCAAACATATAGTAAGATACCGTTGTAGTAAAAGGCCATCTTATCTGTTGATACACAGTCTTCACACTTGGGTATGATTATGTATGAATACAGAAGGAAATTTACCATACCACATCAGTCTTTCTATAAAGTAAAGGGGAACATTTTTCGTACTAAAACCTGTAAATGTCACACCAATGCCTTACTCTGGTGAGTGAGTAGACAACCTCTTTTTCTTCTCCGGATATGATTTGATAAATATTTGTTCGAAAGATATATGAACAAAGTTTAACAGTTGTAACTAAGCAGACAAATAGATTTTTGTATAGTTAATTTTATCAGCAACCCAACAACTACATTAAATAAGACCTTCAGATTGAAAAAATATACTCTTTGTGCATATTATTTCTGCACAAAATTTTAAATTAAATTGGATAAATATTTCTTTTGTTTGACCCATGTTTTTCTTTGTCTGAAGTGTCATTAATTCAAATGGTAACAAACTAGAAATTAGAATATCTCAACTTCATTTCCTAAACATGCACATAATTAAAGACTTGTGGTATTTACTTAAATCAGTGCTTTAAAAGTTTGTAAAGTGTGCTATAAAAATTCCTTTGAAAAAAAAATAATAAAATAATTAAGTATTAGAGAAAGGTAATTAAACTTTGTTTGCCATGGTTGTATGGGTTAATTTGTAACTGATTACCTAGAAACCATATGCTTAAACAAAATCTTATTGTAAATTAATTGACTCAGAGCTTCAAATAATAAACTGAGAATAGTATTAAGTTTCTTATTTATCTTGTTGTGCAGTTGTCTTTTCTTGTTAAACATGGAAATGTTAACATGCATTGATTAGAAAATTTGTGGTCAAGGTGGAGTGACGACTAGGGGTGTCCCACTGCAATTATAAATAGCTATCAGTTTAAATATCTCTTAAAAAGTGTTGTATACATTCATTCATAACACATGTGTGAATAATCCGACAGTCTGTGTTTAGAGAGAGATAAAACGATGATTATTATTTGAAGTTTTTACCTATATGATGGAGACTAAAGTAATATGGATTTAAATTCATTGAGGATCACGTTTATTTTTGTCATAGTGTCCATCATATGTAATGTTTATTGTAAAAATAAAAGAGGTAAGCCTAGTAAAAGTTAGTACACTTTACTTAGTAGCAGGTGCTTGTAGGAAATTTTTTTAATTATTAATTTTAATGCATAAATTTGCTTGAAAGCTATTATATTATTTTGAAAATGGAAATACTTAAAAAAAAAATGCTTTCATAGCAAAACCTCTTTACATGTATATGTAATTTATAAAATCAAATTTGATGCATGTGTGTTAAACTTTGAGAAAAGTATCTCACTTCATTTCCCTCAAAATGAGATTTTGATTTAATTCCTCTCTTTAACAATTATGGTTAAAATAATCATGAGGTTTCAGCCTTTAACATGTTTAACTAGAGATTTAAACATTGAACTTTCTTTGTTACCATTTTTAAAATTGAAATCTCAAAATGCAAATATAATGCTACCGTAGTTTATAGGTACTATAATTAAAATTTATTAAACTTATTTTACATATTGAACTCAAACATTTAAGATCAACAATTTATATAAAGAAAATTTGTAATCAGTCCAGATAAATATTTGTTAAAAAATAGGACCAAGATATATTATGTCATTTATGTGAAGATTGTTTTCACGTTAAAGTAAAGAACTTAGTACACAGACAAAAATACTAGGAATAATTTTATATGTGACAAGTCCTAAGATATATCTAAGCATGTCTGAACCAGGGGCTGAATTTATATACATTTCATCTTTTGCAATGTTTTATGGACATAACCCAGATGCTTAAAAGAAGTGGTATCTCACTGGAAAGTGTACATGTGAAAAGAGCACATCAGCACATTTTCTAATTACCGACAGTAATAAAATTTAATTAAATGTATGTAGGTGATTAACAGGTCTGATCACAGAAGCATGTTGTGTAAAGATACAGCCACAGGGTGAAGTGACCTGTGTAAAACATTTATATACACCGAAATAAAAAACGAGGTATGACCTGCATCCTTTAGTGATATATAGAACATATGCTGTATAATTTTAAAGTAATAATAAATAGGTGAAATCTTTGATAAATTGACTTGAGTTCATATTTCATTAGTTATCACTCTGTAACACTGGGATGCCCTTTGGTTATCAATAGTTAATCACTGTGATCTTCATCATCAGGAGTTTGTGTATATTTTATGAAAGAAGTAATATTCTATTGTACATTAAAATATAGTAAAAGTTATAAAGGTGCTTGGGGAATGAATATATATAGAAGTTTAAAAATCTCGAGATAAGTTTATGCATTTTCAGTTAGCTCTGTAGCAACTATTGTTATGTGTCCTCAGGATTTGCATCAGTATGCACTTATTCATATTTAAGATTTGAATTTATTTAGTTATTAGCACTTAAGAAACTCAAACTTTACCTGATTTGTACATGTTATGTGTTTATTGGAGGTAACTGGTCAGCTTCAGAAATATGTATATTTAATGTGTTTAAGGTATCTGGTCAGTTTCCTAGATATGTATATTGGATGTGTTTAAGGTAGCTGGTCAGCTTCCTAGATATGTATATTGGATGTGTTTAAGATATCTGATCAGCTTCCTAGATATGTATATTGGATGTGTTTAAGGTATCTGGTCAGCTTCATAGTTATGTATATTGGATGTGTATTAGGTGTCTGGTCAGCTTCTTAGAAATGTATATTGGATGTGTTTAAAGTATCTGGTCATCTTCCCCGATATGTTTATTGGATGTGTCAAAGGTACCTGGTCAGCTTCCTAGTTATGTATATTGGATGTGTTTAAAGTATCTGGTCAGTTTCCTAGATATATATATTTTGAATGTTTTGAACGTAGTTGGTTGGCTTTTTAAGTATGTATATTTGATGTGTTTATAAGGTAGCTGGTTGGCTTCCTTGGTATGTTAATTGAATGTTTAAGGTAGTTGGTTGGCTTCTTAAGTATGTATATTTGATGTGTTTAAGGTAGCTGGTTGGCTTCCTTGGTATGTTAGTTGGATGATTAAGGTAGCTGGTAGGCTTCTTAAGTATGTATATTTGATGTGTTTAAGGTAGTTGGTTGGTTTCCTTGGTATGTTAGTTGGATGTTTAAGGTAGCTGGTTGGCATCTTAAGTATATATATATTTGATATGTTAAAGGTAGCTGGTTGTTTTCCTTGGTATGTTAGTTAAATGTTTAAGGTAGCTGGTTGGCTTCTTAAGTATGTATATTTGATGTGTTTATGGTAGCTGGTTGGCTTCCTTGGTATGTTAGTTGGATGTGTTTAACGTAGTTTGTTGTATTCTGAAGTATGTATATTTGATGTGTTTAAGGTAGCTGGTTGGCTTCCTTGATAATTTAGTTGGATGTTTAAGGTAGCTGGTTTGCTTCTTAAGTATATATATTTGATGTGTTTAAGGTAGCTGGTTGGCTTCTTTTGTATGATAATTGGATGTTTAAGGAAGTTGGTTGGCTTCTTAAGTATGTATATTTGATGTGTTTCAGGTATTTGATCAGGTTCTTTGTGCTCAGATTGGCCATGTTATGCTGTTTGCATTGATTGAATTACTTATTTTCAAATTGACTGCTACCACTCAAGTAGATCAACATATATCCTATTTTTAGGCTTCACTTATCTACGAAAGCTAATTATTTCATCTAACTTTTGCCCTTTCCTGACAAATCCAAATTTCTTTTATTTCAGCTCACTTGAAAAATTCTGTCAAATTTGAATGTATCTTAAGAAGATTTAGATTTTTCTTACCATGGTGTTTACAAGGACAGTTCATTTTAAATCAGAAAAATAAAATAAAAATCTCAGTACATTTATATTAACCTTAGTACAGTTTTTTGAAGAAAGAATTTTAACTGCTTTAACATACTGGGTGCTTAATCCCTACCTCGAAACCATGGTAATATATCTTTTTTTATGTGTGACATATAACCCTACTCATGATTTGAAATTAAACTGTCACATGTCCCCTTATACTTGTCTTACATTATATGATTGAATATATGAATTAAATAAAAATTCACACATTAAAAGCTTAAAATCAATCTTTCTTTTATAAAGAAGACCTTAGGCTTGAAACTTTTTGACGGATCATTTTTTAATTGAAATGTTTGAGCTGTTATTATTAAATATTAAAAGAGGATTTTTTAAACAAGGTTTGAGATCTGTGACTACAGAGGTAGTTTATTACATGTATAGTAAATTTGGTGATTCAGCAGCTTTAGAAGAAGATATTTTATATAAATGGATAATAATGTAAATTCATGGCCCCCTGCAGACAAATACTTAAATAGTAGAAAATGCATAATACTTTGTAAGAATGCGTAACTTTAGATTTATTTTTGAGTTGGGCGTATGACCTTGTATAATACAGAATATGAAAATAATTGAAATATTTTTGTAATCTTGAGGAGTATATTAATGTTTGTTGATTGATATAACATCAGAAAATAGATTTGTTAACAGTAAATACATGTTATTGATGCTGATATTTGTGCTGCTGACAGCATTGTACAAATGCCAATAGTAAAAGAAAATTTATTTATGGATTTATAACTGTTTTTTACATGATTTTCTAATTGCTAGTTATTGGGAAAAAATCTGTGGTTTCTTACCAAAATAGTAAAAGTGTTTCAATCAAGTGAATTATGTTTTTTTTTATGATAAATGTGGATTTAGTTCATATTTGTTCTTTCTGGAATGGCCTTTATTATAAAAAAAAATTCTGATAAAGTGAAGCATAATATATATATATATCCTTTCACTCTATTAAATTGCTGGAAATGTTAGTTTTATTCTTTTTCTACATTCAAAATTTATTACTGTAAAGATTACAATTAATTCCTTGAAATTTTGTGTTACTTTCATTGAAAGCATTTCAGATCATATGCATAGTATAACTTAATCTTATTTCTTAGGAATAAAATGTAACAACATAGTGCTAACTAAATGTATGATTCAGGAGAAAATGCTGATGAAAATCCACAGATGTTAATGATAAAATTTGATTCTTTATATTAATGCAATGAAAGCAGCAATCTTGTATCTAAAAGTTTATTTGAAAAATTTTATAGTTTGACATGAAAGGAAAATTAGATCTGTAACCCCAGTGCCAATATAAAGAGGAAGTAATGAGTTATGTTAAAGATGAACTGGAAACCATTGAGCACAGGATTTTATTCCTATTTATTTTAAAGAATCTCCCTTTTTAAGTTATTACCAGTAAATATAACTTATTTACAATAACTCTTGAGTTCTTTTATTGTTTTTTAAGGGACCAAAGTAAACATATTCAGAATTGTTGTTATTTCCTGTTCATCAAGTGGAGATAATCCAGATTAACCTGTTGACACCTGTAAGAGTTAATTCCCCTATTGTTATTGTGATGTATTATGTAGACAGAATACCTCATCCTTTGAAAGTATTATGCAGTTGATTACATTTTTTGAAGAATTAATTTCTTGAATGGACTTGCTTTTTAGAATTTGATTTTTTTGAATAATTTAAATTTAGCTTTAACTGGTAGGATTTTTTTGTCACATATATATATAGACCACTGTGTTTTATGCGACATAGACAGGGAATTTCCTAGCCTTCCTCAGGGTTCGTTAAATAGACCCATTCCCACTGATTATTAATTTTACAGAATTCTCTAAAGTATCAACTAACCCTAATAAGTCTGATTTCAAAATAACCTGATTTTAATGCTTTAAAGGAACCTTCCCAATACACTCTCATATAATCCTGATTATTGGTGTATTTACATGTACTTGCTATATGAAAGCAAATTAGCACTCTCGCCTGTCTATTATGCCATCAGACTAATCTTGACTTCCTCAATAGCTAGGTTACTTTTGAACAGTTATTTACATACTGAGAAGCTTTGGTACTTTTCAGACTGACATGATCTATTGGATAGATAAGTTAATTTTCATACTGATGTGACTTGCTGGGTAGCTGGTTTACTTTTCAGACTAATTAGACTCACTTGGTAGCAAGGTTACTTTTCAGACTAATTAGACTCACTTGGTAGCTAGGTTACTTTTCAGATTGATCTTACTTGCTG